CTTCCTCCCCTCCCCGCCCCCAGACCCTCTGCTCCCCCCCCGCGCGCCCCGGGCGCCCCAGACGCGCGCAGCCCCGCGTCCATGGGCAGGGACGGGGTCCTCCGGGCTGTTGTCAGCGAGGGCGGGAGCAAAAGTGGCGTTTTAGTGCCTTTCCGGGGCTTTTTTGGCGACCCTGTGTCCCGCACCCTCGCTGTCCCCTGGTAGATGCCCTCTTCGGGGGTGCGAGGCTGTGGGAAAAGTTTAAGGTTTGTTCATATTAGTCGCGATTGTTGGGGAGGGGGCGGGGGCGGTGGGGAGGGAGGCGAGGTGGCCTTCCCTTCTGCGCGTTCTCCGGGCTTCCTGGAGGAGAATACTGCAAGTGACAGCCAGAAGTAGACTTTCTGTGCTCACGCCGAAGAACCCGAGCAAGCGGGAGGGAGGAAGACCGAACCCCCTTTCCCCCACTGGCTGCTTCCTGGAGACCTTGTCCTCAGTGATTTTTTTTTTTTTTTTTCTTTTCTTTTTAAGAGATTCTTCAGTCACCACCTCGCCTCCCCAGCACCACCACAGTGCACAGCTCCTAACGGGTTTTGCTTTGTTTTTACGATTTCCCCCCCAACGAATCACTTGTCAGATCAATTTTATCTTCTCCCTCCTCCCTACTTCCCACTCTCCCCTCCTCCCCAACGCAAACCCAGTTCTCTGAGGTTAGACATTTTACAAACCATACATATGTTGTTTTTCGAACTGTGATTTTTTTTTTTTTTCTAATACCCTCTCCCATGGCTACTCTTGTAGACGTTTATTTCTGCCCTTCCCCCGCTTAGGGGGGGCGGGAGTAGGGGAAGAGAAAATAATACAATTTCAGGGGAAGTCGCCTTCAGGTCTGCTGCGTTTTTTTTTTTTTTTTTTTTTTTTTAAATTAAAAAGAAGGGATATAGAAAACATCAGTCTTGAACTTCACTTCAAGAACCCCGGGCTGCAAAGGAAATCTCCTTTGTTTTTGTTATTTATATGCTGTCAAGTTTTGAAGTGGTGAGTTTCAGGTTGGTTTTGCTAATTTCACTCAGTAAAACTGCAGTGTTTCTGTTTCTAGATAGTACTTTGCTTCTTTGTCTCTTTAAAAGGTCACAGCGAAAGCTTGGCCTGGATCGTGCCGGCCATATGGAATGGATAAGGGCACAGTCTCTTAAATTGTGATTATGGGGTTCAGTAGGGGCTAGAGAAGCGATCCAGCAAGGAACTCATTGAAAAGGATCCCACAATGCAAAGACTAGGTTCTTGAAACCGGAATTTCGTGTTTTTCTCTCTTTTACAGGAAATAATTGCGGAGGCTGAGTTCACTGTTTTATTCAGTAATTAGCATATATGGTCTTAGTTTATGGACTGGGAGATGGGGTTTTGACAAAATAACCTGCATTGTATGTGCCAAATAGTCGTCACACTAAAATGGGTTGTAAAATGCGTAACTCAAAAGAAACTCTTCACTTTGGCATCTGTTGAGACCATAGTTCCTGCTGCTTGTCAGTCCATGCAGGCCTGTTGGAGGTTGCTCTTTTCAATTCTAAACTGAGATTGGTGAACTTTAGCCTTGGGCATAGAGTTTTAAGGAGTAAATTGGATGTTTTATGTGCATGTAATTTTGCTTTATAAACGTAAAGCTTTCTACAGGATGAGTTAGTGTTAATAGACGCTGGTAGGTGGGTATTCAAAGGACAGTTCTGCGTGACCTATATGATATTTTGACTGTCAATACATTAAATTATAATCTGTCACTGTCATTTGCTGTACAGTTTATAGTGCTGTTAAGCCTCAGGATTACTTAATATGCTTTGTGATGTTAACTTTGATACTGTTGTCTACTTTTTCCTCTTTTTCTCTTGAGTTGCCCCAAGGGTTAAAGATTTTTCTTTGGATATCAGATGTTTTAAAATTCGTTTTCTCTGTGTTGAGGCAATCAATTTTAGAAAAAGCAGTTCTACATTATAATCCACATGAAACATTATAAAGAGTGTTTTGAATAAGTTAATAATCATCACTCTCTAATTTTGGCTTTAGACTGCAGTTTAATATAATGGAAAAGAGTAATCTTGATAAAAAGTGGTTTAAAAAGGCGCATTTATTGTTAATGAACCTCATAACCAAAACCAGATGGGACCCCGATCAACGGTAAACCTTTAGTTCTCAGCGTGCCACCCTGGAGTAAAAAGATAAATAGCCATTATTATTTCTCAAACTTTATAGTTCTTCAGTTGGCACTCCTAAGGTTGCTTTTAAACCTTCAGATTAACATCACTCTTCCCTTTTTTGATTATAGAGGATGAAGTAGTCTGTAGTTAAACCAAAACAAAAATGTTTACAGAAAACCAAGTAATACAAACTGACTTTCAACAAATCCAGATCTGAATAGCTTAGGTATAATTTTTGAAAAATACAAGACAGGTCAAATTAATAGACAGCTGGTAGATACTGGTAATTATCATATTCTCCTTTTTCCTAAATATGTTCCCCTTAGTGTTGATAAGCCCAATATTTTAAGTATGATAAAAGTTCATAATTCTGCTTACCTGCTGTTACCAATTCTAGCTGAAACTTATACAAGTGACTTTTATATTGAACTAATATTATCTTACATACAGTGTAAAATGTACAATAAAATTGAACATAATTTTTTTTCTGAAATTACAGTACTACCTTCATTGCATAGTGAGATTACTTTTGCATATTGGAGATGATGTTTTACCAGTATCAAGGTTTTTTTTTGTTTTAGAGTGAACTTAGCATGTCCCCCTATTAGTATATAAAGTCTTTTCAGATTTTGCTGTTTAAATGGATATCCACGTTTTATTGGTAATGCACACCTAAACATTAGCTCTAAAAGACAGCTTGAGTTGTAATTCTTCAGTACCTAGGATATTTGAAGAAACCCTTCACTTCTTCCTGTTTGCTTGGGGTGAAATGACTCAGTCACATGTTTGACCCAAGGCTTGACTAGATCTTTAACTGGGCAGCGGAACTCTTGAAACTTTGATAGTAGAAAACTTGTCTGCATTAGTGTGGGAAGCCGGTGGGGCCTTCTTTTGAGATGTTGTCTATATTTTCCTCAAAACACATGTAAAATATGAACATGCATGAAATTTAGTATTTTGGACTGATTATTCTTCCATTCTTTATTAAACTGTTGCTATTGTAGTCTGTAATGAGTGTGTAGTTTTTAAAAATTATGACTACGTAAGTACAATTTTCTGTTTTTCTTTTTAGCTTGTAATTCTTGTTCTAAAAGTAAGCCCATTTTTGTTCACTTAGTTCTGTTTGTAAGTGACAAATTACCTTTTCATTAATGTTTGTTGATACAATTGCCACATATTATTAATTTAACCAGAAATGGGGTATTATATAGTAACATCTGTATTATGAATGTGTAGCTTTACGAATACATTTGTGGAGAGAAAAGTCTAGCAAATGTTTATATGGGACACATGTGTAGCTGTAGACCTTCACCCAATTATAACATGTCTGTCTTCTCTTTAAATTCTGGCAGGTGGTCTTTAGAGAGTGACTGAGTATGGATCATTTGAACGAGACAACTCAGGGGAAAGAACATTCAGAAATGTCTAACAATGTGAGTGATCCGAAGGGTCCACCAGCCAAGATTGCCCGCCTGGAGCAGAACGGGAGCCCTCTAGGAAGAGGAAGGCTTGGGAGTACAGGTGCAAAAATGCAGGGAGTGCCTTTAAAACACTCGGGCCATCTGATGAAAACCAACCTTAGGAAAGGTAAATACTTTTGAGCCAAACCTGGATTGCTGCAAGCATGGTGTCTACCCAATACCCTGTTGTGTGGGGGTGGAGGGGCAGAACATGTTTTGTATATTCTTTTCCTGGATTCTCCTTCTGAAATGAAGCTAGTTACATTCTGGGTTGTAGTATCAATCATGTTTTCATTGTATAGGCTGTGTTCTTGAGTGTGGAACATCTTATTCTGTTGCGGATTGAAATCATTGGACTTTTTGGATGATAAAGATTAAGTATAAAGGTTGTAGTTTATGCCAAGGTCAGCTCAAAAGGTGCTGTTATAGTAAAGAATAGCAGGTGACTGTTAACGTAAACTAATTCCTGTTAAGAGTAAGTCAATTAGGGTGTTTGGAAATCACCCCGCTTTTTTATTTTTTAAAATGAGTACTTCTTGTAAGGCAGTCTCAGAGATCATGAAAATCTTACATAAGGTGATATAAAAGTTTGGTAATATCATTTTTGTGGGGTTTCTTTTCTGAAGAGCATATTCAGTATTTAGCAGTGGAAAACCTGGTGATTCTAGTTTTTTAAGTTTTGCTGTATGTGGGTATAGGAAAAGTAGATTTGAGTGACTTTATGGAAAAAAAAGGATATAACTGCTTCTTACCAATACGAAAATTGATGCAGTTTGACAACTTTGAGTGTGTTTTACATAAAGTAGTGCCCAGCCTGGGTATAATGCATGTGCCTCATAAGGGTCTTTATTTTGTTTCTGAATAACACGTATAGAAATCAGATTTTCCTTGCATTTGCTAAGCGAAGGATAAAAATGCCATCTTTTAGCAACCAAGAATATTAAGTAGATAAAGTTAGAAGGCAGAGGAATTTCATTGTGCCTGATGCATAACATTTATCATACAATCATTTATTTTTTCCTTGGTTTGGCGAAAACAAAGAATATATTGATCCTGAAATGAACAGACACAGCAGTCCGTATTGTTAGATCTTTATCTATTAAAAATGGAAAAACAGCACTTCAGCAAATTCTTTGGCCTCTACTCATGATTACCCTATTTATTGATTGTTTGCCAAGAATGTATGCATCTTAAGAAAGCCAGGGTAAGAGCATTAAAAATATAATTTATTATGGCTTTTCAAACAGAGTGCATTAATATTGTACTGCGAAACACTGGGGCTTTATAAAAAAGACTTTCTGACGCCGGCAAACATATAAGTTCCATAAATTCCTAAATAGGAGATTTCAGCTGTCTCTGGTATTATGTGATATTTGCACAGCAAACTTTAATGCCAGGACAGTTTTAGACAAGGATTCTACAGACTTCACTGCTCCTTATGGCAGACGTGCTGTTTACACAGGCTCATAAACCTTCAGCAAAAGCTTCTAAGACTGCCTTCAGGTTTAAATCATGAGGTATTTTTAGCGTTCAGCAGTGACCAGTGCTCTCCTCTTTTAATGCCGGGAGGTTGTGAAGTTGCTGTAGTTGGAAGTCTCGCCAAACACTGGGACGAATAATCAGACGTTCTGAGAAGGCTCCTGTTTAGCATTACTCCCAGTAACAGCAGGGCAACCCTGACAGTTTGCTAGAAGATTTAGCAGCTGGATTTATAATTAGATATTATTGTTACTTTATCTCTTGCCACTTTTATTAGCTATAAGGTAGCTGTAAATTTGATCAATACGATACAAAGTAAATTCAGTATATTTCAGTAGTATAAAAAGCCTATATTGTTTCATAGATCTGAGAAGTTATTTCATAGGCCTGAGAAGCAGCGTATAATAGAACACATCTGTTTCATCCATGAGAAGAAAAATCAATGTATATGTTTTTGTTGTACTAACCCAGTTCTTAGAAGACATCAGTGCAAGGGGAGGAAGAACTAAAGTACAGTAATTTCGCTTCCTGATCAAATGCTTTTTAAAAAAAATATTTTATTTGTGATAGCTTTTTAAAAAATGTAGTTTATTTAGAAAGGTCTCTGCTTAATCAGATTACAAAGTCACTACAGCCTTTCAGTGTTTTGTCCTCCTCATCTTGTTTTTTGTGAGTATGGTTTTTGTTTGACAGGTGCTAGATAAAAATTGTGACTGAGCTGGGAAAGCACTACTAAGAAAAAGGGGATGAATGTTTTTATTTGTTTAGGAGGTTTTGCCAAAATACCTTCAAGCCAAGGAAGAAATTACCAGTTTGCATATTGCTATTTTTGCTGTGGTCTCCCCAAGTCGTCTTCTGATCCCTGATGGGTTTTCTCTCTGGTATACAGCAGCTGAATGAATGACAAGAATATTGGCAAGCTTTGCGGCTTGTTTTTCTTGCCTAGCCTGTTGGTACTTCCGAATGAGTTTGTGAGCTTCTCTAAACCTAGAGGGGTTTATTTGTCAGAGCTAGAGTCTCTTGTGAACCGTTCACTAAAGCTTTGGTGAAGATACACGTGTGGAAAAAATGTAGCTGTTTTATTGCCGGCTTTTGTTCAGAAGAAACAGGTAAATAGAGAATTTGTAAAGGGCCTGTCTGGTGTCAGTAGGAAATATAGATTTTTGGAGGTGCTTGATACGCACTAGACATCTTCAGAAGTTGGTAAGATTCTTGAGTCCGGAGGACAGAGCTGATACAAGCATGAATGTTGTAGGACTAATTGGGGATCCTGGGTGCCCTGTTAAAGTAACCCGTGTCATCATTTATTCTAAAGATGATACCCTCCTGGCACTTTGCCACGGTACAGTTACATCTGTTTTTAACCCTTTTCTGTTATCGCTGCAAGTGTGGCAGTATGCTGGGTGAACACCTTGAGTGCAGTAGCAATGTGTGATTTCAGCTTTTATAGCTACCCTGTTTTCTAACAGTGGTGCGACCTGTGCTTGTTAATCATCTGGCTACTGAGCTATTGCCTTGGATTAAAGTAAAGCAAGAGAGAACACATCAAATCCGTGTAAATTCCTTGATTCTGATCTATCCTGAAGGGGCCACTTTCCTGTTCTCTCTCATTTTATCATGTTATGTAATGGAACTTGTTCGTTTTAAAGACTATGGCCACTGTGATATCTTTTTAGTTAGGTAGATTAAATGAGTAGTCACAGAAATAAATGTTATTTATTTCTGCATTATGCACATTGACATTGTGTGTTATGAACATCAGTGTGGTTTTGTGTTTCTTGAATGGAACCATTAGAACAAATATCTCAAAAAGAAAATAATTTTTTGACCAAAGATAATTTGTTTAGACGCAAACAAGAAAAGTTTATTATTAAGGGAGGCATCTAGGCAGTGGGAAGGTGGGTTGTGAATACAACTGCAGTGCATTCTGTGTGTGTACCGTATACTACTCACAGCAAATCAAATAAGACACACTTGTCTCTTGTCAGCATTATTATTTGATCAAAAAAAGGTAATTCTACATTGGGAAGTGCACCGTTAAAATTAGAGCAGAGCTCAAGTTACCTTAAGACCAACTTCGTGTTCTATTTAAATATTTCTCTTACAACTTTAAAAAATAAAAGTTGCTTATATTTTATATTTGTGTGTGAATGTCTGCATCTCTGTACCCAGTCTGCCTTGGAAGCACAGTTTCTCACTGTTGTAAAGATTTATTTTTATAGCATAATTTTTCCTTCCCCTCCAAACTATATTTCTGAAGATTGTTGTTTTCCTGCCTTTTTCTCTGTCTTTTTGATAGGAACCATGCTACCAGTTTTCTGCGTGGTGGAACATTATGAAAACGCCATTGAATATGATTGCAAGGAGGAGCATGCGGAATTTGTGTTGGTGAGAAAGGATATGCTTTTCAACCAGCTGATAGAAATGGCACTGCTGTCTCTAGGTTATTCGCATAGCTCTGCTGCCCAGGCCAAAGGTAAATAATGCATATGTGGGGTGGGAAAAATTGCTTGGCATCCTTTGTTTACCTCATAGAGAAAGCAGTGAATATCTTTATTCAAAGAGCTGTAGCCCGTGTTTTACATTGGTTCCTTATAGACTATGGCTTTAAAAAATTGGCTTAATTCAGTTTGGTTTAGTTAACACACATTTTGCTCATGTGGAATGTTGAGGTAGATTTTTTTTTAAATTACTTCAGCTGAATCATTAGTATGCTTATTGACCTTAATAATCTGCTCCACTGAGGACCCACAAGGAAGTGAGGAGCGTATTTGAGCAGATGGACTGTTGAGAGTCAATTTGCATTTATGACTGAATATCTAGTTCTGTTTCTTTTATTCTGTTTCTGATGGTTTTATGGGCTGTAAAGTATTTTTCAGTGCTGATTCCCCCTGCAATAGAGAATCTTATCTAAATCGTAAAGCCATTTAGAACTGGTTTTGCTATGTCTTATTAGAACTTTCTGTAAGTTAGGAAAATGTGGCCTTATGCATAGGTTTTATTGATGGGGTTTTATTTCCAAAATAATAAACAACCCTATAGTCATTTACATAATTTCACAATTTGGAAAGCTAAGCTGTGAATATTTTCACTGACCTGCCTTTTAGAGGAAAGGGAATCATTCAAACAGAAATAACAATATTGCTTGTGGTGGGGGCAGTAGAAAAAAAAAAGCTTTCTATTAGATATATCATGTGAGAGTAAAATAGTCAGTGACATATTCTCTTTATCTGGAATAGGGCTAATCCAGGTTGGAAAGTGGAATCCAGTTCCACTGTCTTATGTGACAGATGCCCCTGATGCCACGGTAGCAGATATGCTTCAAGATGTGTATCATGTGGTCACACTGAAAATTCAGTTACACAGGTGAGTCAAGGCAGCCGTTCTGGGGTGAAGCATTCTTCTTACCTAGTTCTCTGAAATAACACGTCCCCCCGCAACCTTCAGCTCCTACTTACCCTGTGTTTCAGAAAGGTTAATCCAAATTTATTTTGTTGTCTTACCCCTTCTGTTCTTTTCCCCTCACTTCAATGGATAACTTAACCCCTCCCAAATTTGTAGATTTTTCTAGGTTATCAAAAGACAAGACTTTTTATATTTAGTCAATTAAATGATGCATTACAAGAAGGCATTTTACATAAAGTTTACTTAAGAAAAAAATATTTTTGCATATCATGAACAGTGCCATCTGTGTACATTTTGTGAAAGAATGCCTTATTTGCTATTGCCATGATCTTATTTATGTTTTTTTTTTTACCATTTTATTTCGTATGAAGAGAGTAATGAAAGGAAATCAGTTAATACGTTAATGCTTTTCACGATGGCTCCTGAGAAAGCAGTACACCTTAAATTGTCTTCCCAAGCGCATCAGAGCAGGAAGGTAGAAGTAACATGAAAAAATAGCCACCACAGGCAGCTGATGTATAATTCATGCATCGATACAGCAGATGTGTTGTATAAAGTAATTAACTAATCGGAACAATCAGGAGACCGAGAGCAATCTCCAGATGCATCTGTTTGATGCGCAAAATGAAATCTGTCTGTCTTAAAGGAATGTTCTGCAGCGGGATGCAATCTTGTAATAATCCCCTTTCTAATCTATGTCTCAAATAGTTGCCCCAAACTAGAAGACTTGCCTCCTGAACAATGGTCGCACACCACAGTAAGGAATGCTCTGAAGGACTTACTCAAAGATATGAATCAGAGTTCATTGGCCAAGGAGTGCCCCCTGTCACAGGTACTTAGCATAGCGTGTAATAAATAATAAGATATCATGGGCAACTTGGGCTTGAGGTCTGATGGGGCTCTAGAGTTTAAAGCAACTGGTATCTGAAGCAAGAATTTGCCAAAAAACGCAAAATTACTTGACCACTGCTGACCTTTAAAAATGTGCCTGATTCATTCTGAACAGAACCCTTACACGTTTTTCCCTTCGGGGAGAGTGTTAAGGACTGTTTACGTGGAAAAACAGTTAAGCAGAAAACTATGCTGGCTAGTCTTTAGATTCTTCTTAGGGCTCTGAGCCTGGTAGCTACAGTCTCCTTAGTGACTTCCTGAAGGAAGAGCCAGGGTAGTAGACTTGCTCAGAAGTTTGGCACATAGGAATAGCAGTATTAGTGTTAACATGCAAAGCTTCAACATGCTGTCTGAATAAAATAAGAATACAGTTATTGGCTCCTTTGTTCATTACTGGGGGGGGTATATTTAGTAGAAATAAAAGTAAGTACAGAAATATTTTGTCCAGATCAAAGGTTGAATAGTTATTATTCATTAGAATTTTGTAGCCTATTTTGAGGCATTAGTTTTTTTGGTGTTTTGTTTTTAAGTGGAATCCTTTTGCCTTTGAGATGCCTGTTGTACCATTAGGGGTTTATGAAATGAGATTTATTATTGGACTTCATTTTTTGGGGTGAATTTTGATGGAGAACAACTAAAGCTTTAGGTAGAAACTGCTGTTGTTTCCAGATTTAAAAATCACACATCATTTCTGAAAATGTTCAGCTGATTTCAAATAAGAAAGAAAAAGGATGCTGTGAACCCTCTCTTAGCAGTCTGCTTATGTGTTTACCATGTATTATAATGCAGTCCCTTATTATCCAAACCCATAATATACTGTAATTGAGATCTAATTTGATTTTTGTTAAATTTTTAAAGTTTTCTTTTAATTTAGGCTTAGAACTGTAATTCAAATATTAATCTGTCACTTAAACTTGTATCTAGGAGTTCTGTAAGTAAGATTTTCAATGTATATTTCTACTCTGTTCTGAGTTGTAGGTATTCTCAGGGTGTATATGTAATGTAAGGCTCATGAAGATTAGAGGGTACCTTTGCAAGGGAGCTTGTGGGCTTTTATTCTACTTTTCATGAAGAACTCTTTGCATGTCAGGTTTGATGAATTATAGTCCTATAGCTTTGCTTTTATATTGGTAGTTTTAGGAGGAAAGCAAATTCTAAATTAAGCTACAGCCTCAGATTAAATATTTTCTGTATTGATAAGCATTCATTTCTTACAATTTAGGGCAATATTTTTTGTCAGCTCAGTTATACATGCAGCTAATCTCTATCATGAGTCTCTCACCCTTGGAATAGAGAAGATGTGAAATTACAACTATCAAATAAAAATACTTTAAATTCATTAAACTCAGGTACAGCAACAGAATCATCTAATGAAACAGGATGACTTATTTTACTTCTGAGACTGTGTTTTGCAGACCACCCCACATAACATGTTATGTGATTATTAGCATTCAGCAATTTGAGATGACCTAGAATTAAATGTTTTATAAATTTAGAGTTAAAACAATATGAACACCCAGAATAGGAATCTCATGTATCTTCATGTTCCTGAATGTCCCGTTGGTTTTGGAAGTATGTTTAAAGACATAAGGCATTTTACCATGATCTGGAAAAATGTATGCTACTTCAAATATTTATTGATACAGTCAGTGAAAAATACTTGTTAAATGGTATCCACATTGAGCCAGTAAACTTTTCCACAGTGTAGTCTTTTAAATATAATTGAATTTACTTAATGTTGTCATGCAAAATGAACACTGACAATTATAACATTAAACAAAATGATAAAATGAAATGTAGAACTAGGTGGAGTCATACATAGGTGAATTTCTGGTGTAGAGGTGTTTAGAAGAACACATTACCCTGTGTCGCTGGAGACCTCACCATAATGATTCGATGGAACTAGGCTGTGATTGTAGTATGTGTTAAATTATAATCGTCCTTTCTTAAAAAATACCTTTTAAAAATATGCCTGTCTTACTGGCAGCAAAATTTTAAATTCAGTTACTATTTTGAGACAATAACCTCTAAATGAGGGAGCAACTTTATATTTTGCTGTATCATTTTCTGTTTCATTCTCTAGAATGAATCTATAAATTGGATACTCAATGATTTTATTAAAAACTCTTCCACTTTTTTTGGTCATTTTTTTCCTAAAGATGAAGGGGGCTGCCTAAGGCCTAAGCCTAAATATATATTTCTCTTTCTTCTATGTTTGAGATTTCATGATGTAGACATTATAGTGAAAAATGCCTAGCCAATAACTGTTGTCTTATCCTTATACAGAATTCTTACACAGAATGGAGCTTAATTTCAAGAAATTATTAAGGCTATACTTCTCCCATGAAATTTTTGTTTTATTCATGTGAGAACTGTTGACATATTTTCCAGTGTATACATTTTACTGTATCTTGAGGGTTTCGTTTTCTTTAATATGATACAGTACTCCAGTAGCAACAATGATTACAGGCTCCCTAAATAGTATGTTTAGCAGAAAAATCTGCCCTCTGGGCAAAGAGTCCCTCTGTAGAGGCTAAGAGGGAGTAGGAATGGCAGACCATCAGGAATTTGCCTGGGGTGTTTGACAAACCCTGCGTCCAAAACTCTTAGGAGGATTGTCTAATATTTGCTAAGCAAATGTCTAGTTGTACTTGGATTCTTGGAATTAGAATGGCTCATCCTTTCCTGGCTCCTCTTTTGACAGGCGAAGGAGCTAGTGTCCCTAGAGATTTAAAGTCAAGGTGCCAGGTAGTGACTAACCCAAAAGTCCTGATTTCCTATGTCCTTGCCCAGTGGTAAATTTTAAAGTGTGGACATTAAAATGGTTACTTAGGTTTTTGTGCAATAATGTTTTCTTTGATAATATTTGCAAGGTTTTCTCTAGCTGCAGAAATTCCATAAGTGGGTATGTGGTTTGATTTACAACTTGTACTTTTATTTGTGTTATTACTTTCCTATCATAAATCTGCCCAAGTAGATTGATGTGTGTTTATTAAGTTCTGTGTATCACGTGTTTGTTTATTTTTATAAAATGTTCTAAGATATAAAAAATGCTTAGCTCATTATAGATCTGAGGTTGGATGTTTTGTTGCTTTTGTCTTCTTTCAGTGGATGTGGTTAGATAAGTTGGGTATTGCATTCAGAACTGAGGCTAAGTAGGAGAAAATAAAGTCTGATTTAGGGATAGGAAAGCTTGTAGTCATGAAACTTCTGAAGGTATGCATTTAAGAGTAAATTGGGAATTAAAAAACTTAACATTTGATTTACAATGAAACATTAAATCTTGATTATATTTTCCCCTGGAGTTTTAGAAATTGAATTTAAACATTGGATAAATACATACATTCTGATACAGGGACACATAATTTTGTTAAAGGTACCTTAAGTAAAAGGTCAGTTATTATTTCTACCAGCCTAATGGTTTCTTTTTGAAAGTGTTTGGGTCAAATATTTCTGAAAGATTTTTACCTGCCATGTGCATTTTTACCTCCCTGCCTTCACCATATGTGTGATGCTTGTGTGAATACACAAAGACAAAGATACACAGAGAACTTCCACTTTTTTAAATCATTGAATCATTTTCTATTTTATTTCTCATCTGGGGGAAAGATACCTCCATGTCAAGTCCAATATAAAGTGAGAAATGTCATTTCTGTTTTCAGCTAGTAAAATATATTAAGACAAATTTAAATTTGAACATCTTATTTAGAAATAAAATTGAGAAAAGTGACTTCAAAATTTTCCCTTTCTGATGGCATCTGAGGTTTTAAAGGATGTTGGAGTTTTTATTAGTTACTAACAAAACAGATAATCAGAGAAACTTCCCTGTCTGTCTTCCTGAGACTGAGCATTTAAGGAGGTCGATGCTCTGAAATTTGACAGTCCTTTCAATAGGCATTTTAATAAACTCAGGTGTTCAGTGGTTTTCAGTATGTATTACAAGTGACACTGGAAGAAAAATTTAAAAATCTATTCTATAGTAGTGATTGCCTAAAAAAAAAAACCACTGCACTGTTTATTTTCTCCTAATTTTTTGACTGAAACGACACATTTCTTGAATTTTTAAATATTAATAGTCACATTCTTTCAAGAGAATATCCAGTGTCGGTATTAATAAGTTGCATTTCACATGAGAGGCTGATCTATGTATTCACATATTCATATATTTACTCACTCAAAAATACATATTGAAATAGTAATTTTCAAAAATGTATTGGTGGTCTGCTTTGTCCCAGGCATCCTATTTCCTATGTTGCAATAAAGATAACACATCTTAATAGCTGAAATAATACAGGACTAACTTCATTTAGTGCTTTTGATGTATCTCATGCTTCTGTCTTCCTAAGTAGTAGGCAGTTTCATACCCCATGTTCAAATGAGAAACCTGCAGCACGAAATGTGTGAGTGTCCGTGGCTGTGTGGCTGGTGAAATAGAGGGAAAGGCTTGAGAGCCAGGGAGCTTAAGCCAGTGTCCTTCTTGACCACATATTTAAGATAAAGGAAGTTTACAAAAGGAAAAGAAACTTTATATTAATTTGATGTGTTTCATAATACACTTTGATTTCTCTGAAATAGTGATACTAGTTGCCATTTTCCAGTTGTACTTATTTTCACTGTGGAGGATTTTCTTTGACATACGTATTTTGGTTTTGGTCTTCCTGTTCATACAGTGACTTGTTTTAAAAGTTCCATTATGTCATGCCTCCTTTTAAAGACACGTGGGGGTGATTTAGATGATGGGGACTCTGCTGGGTAACCTGGCCTTTGGTTTGAATGTGCAGTGCTGTGCTGTCGCTTGTGCTCCCCATCCTCTTACGTTCTGAAGATCAGTGGGTATCACTGAGCTAACATTTCGTTTGAAATACAAAGTAATTTTAAGCTTTTTTGTTAAATGGAGAATACTGAAAATAAATTTTTCAGGTCTCTTTGAAAATACAAACC